ATATTCTCGTATTGGTGCATCACCTATTCTACATTCACTATTCTATTCAATATGTGTATTCATGTGCAATAATACTTATACGTATGCTTGCTTGCGTGCATGCATGCATGCATGCATACGTGCACGTGTATATGTGCATTCCGTTGACGCGAATAACGCAGCCCACGAGAGTTAGAGCTCGATTAAGTGCAATTCAATGCCAAAGGCTTAATGCCACGGTCGTCGTTTCTATGCAACTATTGCGTCTAACTTATGTTATATTTTTTACTTTTTCTTTTTATTGCATTTTATTCTGTATTTTTTCTTTTTTCTTTTTTTTTTTTGCTAAACAAGAGTTACGTTAATGTCAGAATGATTCTGAAACATTTTTTGTTCAACGAAAATAATGTTCAACAATATTACAAATAGATTATTATTATTTATTTGTTTACGTAAAAATTAAAAATTATAATCCCCCCCTCCCATCACCCCTCCCTCTCCTATTTCTACAAACTACGATAATACTGACATTTTCTGTTCAACGAATAAAATGTTCAATAATATTACAAATAATACACATATACATAGAGAAAAGGATTATTATTATTTATTTGTTTACGTAAGAATTAAAAATTCTAATCCACCCACCCCTCACCTCCCTCTCCCATTTCTATAGGCTATCATAATGCTGATTGATTTTAAAACATTTTTTATTCAACAATATTATAAATCACACACATATACATAGAGAAAAGATTATTAATTCGTTTACATAAAAATTAAAAATTATAATCCACCCTCCTCTCACCTCCCTCTCCTATTTCTACAGGTTATGATAATACTGATTGATTTTAAAACATTTTTTATTCAACTATATTATAAATCACACACATATACATAGAAAAAAGATTATTTATTCGTTTACGTAAGAATTAAAAATGATAATATTCCCTCTCCGTTCCACCCACCTCCCCCTACTCCACTCCCCCTTTACCTGATTTCCTTCTCTTCATTCTCATCCTTTCCCTTTCTCTCGTAACCACGTTGAAATGATCATTATCAACGTTATTCTATGTTTTGAATACGCAATCGTTCGATTTACCATGAATAGAAACTCATACAAAGATATATATAGGTAGTTTTATGTATATGTGTATATGTGTTTTACGTGTATATATATGTAGGTAGTTAAATCGTTGCGTAAGATACGAGTTTAGCATTAGTTTTCCTTCTGTTGTTACACGTTTAACAAATTCAGGCAACATTCTTGCATATTATATATTCCTTCGGTTAATTTCGTATTCAGTAAAAGTATCGTTTAAACATGAGAGTAATACTTACGTGAATATATATATGTATATATATGTATATATATATGTAAGTAGATGAGAACTGTTACTTCGTTAAATATGAAACACTATAACAACGAAGAAGAAGAAGAAGAAAATGAGAAAATGAGAACAAGAAATCGATATGATTTAAAAAAATTATTTATTATACTTCTAAGTGTTGATTATACTTATTTTTTTTTTATATTTATTTAAAGTTCAAGAGTAGTATATTAATTGTTAATGAATATATCAAATATTGTATTATAATTTAAAATATAAGTATCAATTAACAAATAAATATAATAAATAAATAAAATAAATAAAATAAAATATATAAGTAATCTCAAATAACGTGTGTGAGCAACACGATAAAAAAAAAAAAAAAGAGAGTGATAAAATTTGTTGATACGATTAAAAATGTATTTAGAGTTTTTTTTTTTAAATTGAAGAATACGTTTTAATCTGAAATTGTGTGCAAGCAAATTATTCCACGTATGGGAATTAATTTGATTGAATTAAATAATTATCCCACTTTGCGGGATATCCTATTTATTTCATTGTTTCCGATTTTATCGTATTATGATAATTAAAACAAATGAGTTTAACAACTCGTGAATTTTGATTTACACGAAAGACATTTGACTGAAATATGTGGGATCGTTTATTTCGAAAATAATGCAAGTTTATTTGTTGTGTTAGTTTAAAAAATAATTTTAAAAAAGTTAACATTTGTAATTAATTCAAAAATATAAATTTATTTTGTCACGTTTGACAAAAAAAATATTTTTATTAATTTATCCATAATTAATATTTGATTATATAAATTTCTATTTTAGGAGAATTTAAACAAAATATATAATAAATAATAATTCATTATTTTTATAATTAATCAATGACAACTGAAAAATTTTCTATATACAATGATTAAAAAATTTCGTTCAATCTGTAAAAAAGAATCTGAAACTATTATAAACGAAACTCTATAGAATTTTGTAGAAGAAAGAATTTTATAGAATTACATTATATACAATTTCTCATAACATATAAATTAAAAATTGACTTACATCACTTTCTAAATATAAACAAAGTTCATATATTTAAATAACTATATATTAAATATACAAATAAATGTAAACGGGTTTCATATATTTAAATATAAATATATTATATTTATTAATATATAAGTCTCAAAGGGAGTTATAGACGATTAATAAATCTTATGAACAATTTATTTTGAACTAGTTGTACGTTTCGTCCCTTACTGGAGACTTCATCAGCAACTTGATCATTTACAGTTCACGTGTCCATACATATTATCTTTTTTACAGAGTCATAGATTTCAATAAAACTTAACATATTACAATACAATTTGATCCTAAAACACCTTTTCTTATCACACGTAATCAAATATTGAGTAAATAT